GAAATCTTTTTACTCCAAACAGACAGAATGTACCTTTGCAGCGGTCTGGGGTGGAATTGGGCATAGGGAATAGCCTCGAATGAAGAAACCATCTTTCCCAGCAACCTCATACAGAGGTTACCTCTTGGCCTTCAAACTGCCAACCTCATTCCTCAGGGTGGCACATTTCCCTGGAGGCAGAAATACCTTTGCCTGAACTGTGTCTAGGATCATCTCCAAAAACTGCAGGCTCTGCACTGGTTCCAGGGCCAAACAGCCCAGCTTTTCCAGGATCTGCATCGTAAGGACCACATCCTGCTTCAGATCTGGCACCGACCAATTTCTGAACAAGAGATCGTCTAGATAACCTGATACTCCACGAGTTCTGAGTAGCCCCAATACCGGAGCAAGAATTTTTGTGAAAACTCTGGGAACTGTGGTCAGCCCAGATGTGGTAGTGTTATGAACTAGAAATGCTGAGCCTCTACTGCTAACTGCAGAAATCTTTGGAGAGGAATGAATATTGGTACATTCAGAAATGCGTTCCTGATGTCTGTGGACACTAAAAAAAATCTCCCTCCTGTAGGGAGGCCACTACTGACCGAACCGATTCCATACAAAAGGATCGGACATTTAGGAACTGATTTAGCTCCTTGATGTCCAAAATGGACCTTACATCCCCATTTGGTTTTGGGACTGTAAACAGGTTTGAATAAAACCCCTGAAACCTTTCACCCACTGGAACCTCCGTGATTACTCCTTGAGCCAATAGGCAATCGAGTGCCTGAAATAAAGTTCTTTTCTCTGGATTCATTGGTACATTTGATCTTAGAAACCAGGGAGAGGGAAATACCCAAAACTCTAGTCTGTACCCCAGATAAATCATAGAAATTACCCATTTGTCTTGGATTAGAGCCCTCCATGTGGCCACAAAATTCAAAAGCCTTCCTATTAGAGGGTAGAAGAGTACTTTTAGCCCCAATATATGTTGGATATATTTGTCCAAATCTTCCCCAAACAGCTGTTCCCCATAAAAGGGAGAACCTGTCAACAATTTTTTGCATGGCAGTTCTGCTGACCAACTCTTCAGCCAAAAAAACCTGCGCATGTGCACTGATAAGAGGACCAAGCAAGAAATTTGCTGAACTGAATCCTTAAGAGCATCAACCACGAAACACTAAGCACGCAGAACATCCTCCAAATCCTCGGCCGAGCATTCCCCCTGCACTGATGATCTTCCAATCTGCTGCTTGACATGGTCAGAAAGACTCTGGAAAATGGCAAAAGCTGCCACAGCTGGCTGTGCGGCAGAACCTGCCAGGGAGAAAGAGGCCTTTAGGAGAGACTCCAGCTTCTTATCCTCTGGGTCCTTAAAAACCTGTACATTATGCACAGCACATGTTAAAGATTTATTCAAGGATGAAACAGCTGCATCCACTACAGCCAACCCCCATTTTCTTAACAAACTTTTGTTCCATGAGGTACAAAACAGAAAACCTCTTTGGTGGAACAAAAACCCTGTGTGGGTGATCCCAGTCAGCATACATAATTTGTTCCAGAAGAGGATGCGCCGGAAAGTACTTTGTGAAGGCTTCAAAGAGCCCAGGGAAGAAAAAGTAACCTCAGAGGTTTCTATTGAAGGTAGCCTGAATCCAGACTGTACCATATCAGGTCTTGGACTAAAAAACTCTGAGACTGGGAGGAAGAGACCTCCTGCTTCTTCTCAGGCTGTGACTCAGACAGAAATTCTACTGCTTGACCTTCCTCCAACTCTTTCTCATCCTCAGGCTCCACCCATTCCTGCTCCAGGATTGGTGGTTCTAGTAAATGGGATCTATCCCGCTTCTTAGTCCCCTGAGAAACTGATGCAATCATCCCAGCGATCTTATCTTTTAAACCCGATAAGGCTGAAGCAAGATCATCCTTGGTTACATATGTTGAGGCAGACATAATGCCAGATAGAGGTAGCGGCTCAGACTGCACAGTCGCTTCTGGCCTGTCAGGAGAGGATATTACAGCGGACCTTAAGCTAGGTTCCTCAGAACTTGGTGGTGGTACATTAGTGCCCTTTCCTGCTGCATCTCCCCCACTTCGCTTTCTGGAAGACATTACTTCAGATAGCACAAACCTGTGCACCTCGACTAGTAACACAGATCACAATGCAAATAGTGTGCTGAAAAACACTCAATGCAATTGCTGCCTTATGAGCCACGTAGGGCGGTTCCTGACTGACTGATCCACGCTTTCTCCTCAGGGGAGTTCTCTCGTGCCCGTACCGAATAGCCTGCTCTGTGTCCCGGCCACAGGAGATTCCTCAGCAGCAGCCGCCCACGTGTGTCCGAAAACAGTCTGAAAACTAGTGGCCGAAAACAAAAATAGCAAGAACGTCTCGGGAACAACAGTGAGCACTCCCCCTTTTCCCTTCAAATTAGAGCTTATGTTTGTTTCTCCTTACAGAGTCCCGCCGCAGGTCCCTCAGGCACCAACCTTCACCCATCACAGCAGGTATTGTCATATAGACCTTCAAGGACTAAGTCCCCATGCTGAGGGGCTACTGCCTTGGACCCATATAGCACCCCACTGGAAACACCTTAGTCAGATTTACAACTGCACAGGTTTCCATCTGCATGTGGTCCAGCTCCGTAAGACTGCATTACAGGCAAAACCTTGAGGATTCTTCTCCTTATCCAGCGAGGCTCGTGTACCATCCATTTTAGCTTATAGCCTTCCAAATGGATCTGATTAAAGTCCCTGATTCTCGAATGGAACTGTTCTGGACTTTCAGGTATGCTTCAAGAGCACAGCAACATTTCAGTGACCATCCACCTTATAGACACTGGCAAAAAAAAAAGTCAGGTACTTCCTGTATAGGAGGGGTTATATAGGGGAGGACCTCCTCTCTGATTGGTCGGCCGGTGTCCATTCACCTATAGGTGGCCTATAACCTACATATCCATTAACAGCCTTCTCTGTGTCACATGATGTATGATGAAGAAAAACTGTTTCTTGTGCACGTAGCAGCTCACTAATTAGATATGTAGCAATAAGCGAATAGTGCATTCATTGGTACATAACTTTGGAGAAGTGCTTGAGGACCTGACTAAAAAAAGTTGGAAATTGAGTACTAGCTCTCCAAGGGACATAAGACACATCAGCACACGTATTAGAAATTAGCTTCATAATGTGACATAGCCCACACAAATGACATTGACATCTTCAGGCAGGTTCACGTTCTTCACATATTTGGCATTCGCACATGTGGAAAATGTGTTGTGACATTGCCTTCTATATACACGATTCACTATGAGTGTAAAAGCCATTGTAAGGGTGTCTAGGTTTTTTTTTTTGAACTGCAGATTTTCACACGGCGACACCATTATTGAAGCAACACCAATAAAGTGGAAAGAGGAAGAAAATATAAGATGTGATGAGAGGAACACAGGCTTAGGCCTGATTCTAATTACAGAAACATTCTTGCCTTATCTCTTAAAAAAGGAGTAAAGGAAGTGACAAAGTAAGAGAGGAAATTAGAATGAGGATATAGAGGCGGTGGAGAGTGAATGTGGTCCATGGCTGACAGGAAATGTGAGGACTGCCAAATTACTGATGTGAAACACAATCATGGCCACATCCCACAATGCACTGCAGCCTCCCCATTAGTAACATCTTGACCACAATTCTTGGACTGCTTCTTGGCATGGCTATTATCTTGGAGGAAACACCACTTGTGTGAAGAGGCATTCCTGATCCCCGAGAGCCATAATGTTATGTTCTTTACTAATTCCCAGCTTGTTAAATAAATGAGCTCATGTTTTCAAGGGTTCTGCATATATTTGTAAAAGAATGCTATTATCATCAATGAATGGCAAACCCTATGTCCTCACAAAATGGAAGAAACTGTTCATCACAATCTAGATCAGTCTTTTTCAACCTTTTGAAATCATTTTTATATCCTAGGGAACCCCTGCTAAATTATTACATCTACAGCTCACAGTGCATTAGCCTGATCACAGTAAGTTGAAAATATATAAAGATTTCTAAAAGAATAAAGTGGTTTTCCTAGCATATTTGACACTTTGTGCAGATAGTTCTGTTGTAATAATTGAATAGTAGTAAATATGTTCTGTGACAACATGTGTGTCTGCTAGTAAACAAAGTCTGATATGCCCCAAACCCAAAAACTGAAAGTGCAAATTCAGTGCAAATAATGTCATAATGTGCTAGTATGCATTGCATACTAGCACATTATGAAAGACTTACCTTAGAACGAAGCCCTCCAGTGGCATGCTGTCACTGCTGACAGGGCTTTTATCTTCACTCGTCTTTCTTCCAGATTTATGGGCTCTGGCCGCTTGATTGGCTGAGCCACGATAATGTCCCTCCTGCACATGGGAGTCTTGGCCGCTGTACAGAGCTCTGAAGGAATAGCACGGGTATGCCATTCCTTCAGAGCTCATGCGCCGCTGACGTAATTTGCTGCAGGGACACTGAATATCTCCAAAACAATGCACATTTAGATTTTAGTTGTACCTACAAGCTTTATTGTAAGCTTATCTGTAGGTACTAGTGTCCAGTGGGAGTTTACTTCCACTTTAAAATATTATGAAATGATGCAGTACCAGTGAATATAACAAAAACATACAACAAAAACCAAATAAGTAAACGATGTTCAATGTGCCAAGCGTGAAGTCTCTTAAATTGAAGTCCATAGACACTATATTGCCAAAAGTATTGGGACACCCCCCTTCACTCCCTGTGCCGGTGTGGGTTTCCTCGGGGTACTCCGGTTTCCTCATACACTCCGAGTATGTGTATGTATACATGTGAGATAGGGACCTAAGATTATAAGTTTCTTGAGGGCAGGGACTGATATGAATGGGCAATATACATTATATTGCCAAATGTATTGGGACACTCCTCCAAATCATTGGATTCAGGTGTTTCAAACACCTCCATGGCCACATGTGTATAAAACAAAGCACCTAGATATGCAGACTGCTTCTACAAACATTTCTGAAAGAATGGGTCGCTCTAAGGAGCTCAGTGAATTCAAGCGTGGTACCGTGATAGATTGTCACCTGTGCAATAAGTCCATCCATGAAATTTCCTTCCTACTAAATATTCGGTCAACTGTTAGTGGTATTATAACAAAGTGGAAGCAACTGGGAACAACACAACTCAGCCATGAAGTGGTAGCCCATGTAAAATGACAGATAACTAAAGACCGCCAAACTAGGTGTGACCTTCAGATTAGCAGAACAACAGTGCACAGGGAGCTTCATGGAATGGGTTTCCATGCAAGCCTTACATCACCAAGTGCAATGCAAAGCATTAGAGGCAGTGGTGTAAAGCCCGTCGCCACTGGACTCTAGAGCTGTGGAGGCGTATTCTCTGGAGTGATGAATCACGCTTCTCTGTCAGGCAATCCGATGGACGTGTCTGGGTTTGGCAGTTGCAGGAGAAGGGTACTTGCCTGCCTGCATTGTGCCAAGTGTAAAGTTTGGAAGAGGGGGGATTATGGAGTAGAGCTGTTTTTCAGGGGTTGGTCTTGGTCCCTTAGTTTTAGTGAAGGGAACTCTTAAGGCGTCAGCATACCAAGACATTTTGGCCAATTTCATGCTCCCAACTTTGTGGGAACAGTTTAGGGATGGCCACTTCCTTTTCCAACATGACTGCGCACCAGTGCACAAAGCAAGATCCATAAAGACATGGATGAGCAAGTTTAGGGTGGAGGAACTTGACTGGTCTGCACAGAGTCCTGACTTCAACCCGACATAACACCTTTGGGATGAATCAGAGTGGAGACTGCGAGCCAGGCCTTCTCATCCGACATCAGTGCCTGACCTCACAAATGCGCTTCTGGAAGAATGGTCAAACATTCCCATAAACACACTCCTAAACCTTGTGGACAGCCTTCCCAGAAGAGTTGAAACTGTTATAGCTGCCAACTCAATATTGAACCCTACGGAGTAAGACTGGGATGCCATTAACCGCCTCCTGCCCGCCATATAGTAATATAATGGACGCAAGGTGGTTCTCTCGTTCTGGGAGTACGTCATATGACGTCCTCCCATTCTCACCGCTCATGCGCGGCTCCCGGAACGCGCAGTATGGCGATCGGCAGTGCGCTGTGTCCCTCGGACACAGCGGATCACTGATCCGCGGAAGGAGCCGAAGATATCGGCTCAGTCATGTGATCAGCTGTGTCCAATCACAGCTGATCACATGTAAACAGGGAAATGCCGGTTATCGCTGTGTGCCCTCACTGGGGGGATAAGACTAAGTTCACCAGCAGCTCTCTAGGGGGTGCACTATATGTACATTACAGTACCCCTTTTTTTGTTTGCTTATGTTGGCCATTGAAATTTGGGTAAATGTGTAATAACTTGTTGTTTATACATGAGTTCTTCATGCTCTTTGTGTTCAGGGAAATGGCAGAAGTCGATCTTTTTCATAAATGTTTCTATTCCTCTTTCTAATCTCAGTGTAGAAGTGCTCATCACTCTTCATCCGTAGAGTTATTGGGAATTTAATAAAGCTGCTGCCCACTCTTTTGGCATTAATTTCTCTTGTTAATGTATTACACCTCATTCAAGAAACATCTGTGACAGCTTTGGTTCTTACAGCAACTCATGCATCACATTCCGGTAGTTCTAATTTGCTCCATTTACATTGTGGAGCAACACCTGCGTCAAAATAAAATACTAATAGTATATATATTACAAAAGTGGAGCTAATTAAGACCAACTTTCTTTTGGCGTACAGAGAAACATTTTGAGAAAAGATTTTGTGTGTCTCACCTGCGCTCTCAAAGTGGCACAGCATGCACCATATTCAAGTACAAGTTCTAGACAGGCACATGAATTTGGTGCACACTGTGTCACTTTTGGAGTGAAAGTCAGACACGTCTTTATGAATTGCAGTGATTGTGCTTTGTGTGTGGGTCATAAGTATGCTTTATTCTGTTATATGTAATCTTTTATTTATCATTTTCCCAGTGTCCTATATTTCTTATATTCAGTACTGGATAAAGTCCTATCAGCTGTCACACTGACCACAGGATACTCTCCAGCAATATGTTAGCATTCAAAACAAGAGGAAATTGACTGTTTATCTGTGTCCGGACACATGCATGCAGAGCTCATTTCATATCCATTTCAAATTATGCAAGCCTGAGATAGCCGTTGATGCTCTAAGAGGGAGATGTTTTTCCTTGAAATCCCCCCAGCAAGTTCCAATTAGTGCGTTTGAAAATAAACTTGTCAGCTTGGTCTAGCGTTGTGTACGCCCCGCAGTCAGTAGAGTGACTTAAACATGGGCTTCCCTCTGGGACATGTAATTCTCCTCCCTCATATCGTCACCAACCTTGTTCTCCTTGTAAATGTGATCGTTTCAATCCTCACATTCTGCGCAGCCGAGCTACATGGGCATATCACATTAACTCATTCATTGACAAGACGTCTACATCTTTCCCATGACACAAGCTGCTCAAAGGCACTTATTTATGAAGTAGATAACTAGACAAAGTGGAGCAAGGGAACACAATTGTATTGCTTATGACAGCCAAACCTTTTTCTTCTCTTATTTTTCCACATATATAGTTGCTGATTTCCAGGGATGATCTCTGGATCTGAAGAGTTGTCCTAAGGCAAAGCACAACATTTTCCATAAAGGTTAAGTTTTACCTTTTGCAGAAAATGGCCTATGCAGTTAATAAACCCCAGTGATTAAAAAAACAAACAAAAAAAACTATACAGCTTTGTAACATTTGTAGGCTATTTGGGATCCTTTGAAGCCTGGCTGAAAAAAACTCCTTGTTAGCAATCTCTTAGTCAGTGGAGCAACGGTGTGGAATGCCATCACGCAATGGATTACAGCCATCTTGTTGATTTGAAATTTTCACTTCTTTTATGTGATATGCCATTTTATATTTGACTTATGTAGGTGTATTACTTTTGAGTAAGTATGTGAAACACTATTTACTATGCTATGAGATGGTTCTGTTTCCTCTCTGGTTTACATATTATTGAGAGATAACTTTCCATCCAAGTGGAGTGGTCCTCGGTCCTGGGAGAGTTTTGCTGTATTAGCATACCTGTGGAGGGGGAACTTGGAAGTCGGGCCAACATATTATGATATCTGAATGTGCTTTTTGACCACTTGGCTTTGGTAGTCATAACTATGTGGTAAGAGGCTGTGTGCGGATTGAAGGTGGAGGATTTCTTCTCTGGGTTCTATCACACTCTGTAGCACTCTTACAGGTGGTCAGCTTTTATCTACTCATTGGATATCCTATAAAGGAAAAATCTGAAAGGACTTAATTTACGGTTCTAAGTATGGCTTACTTATCTAAATGAATATCGCTGCACCTTACACTTTTTGTGTTGTCTTATCCATTGAATATAATGATTAGTGCTGCACTTCTTTTCTAGAGTGTTTACTATTGGTTCCCGATAAATTGTGTCAGTTGCTTTCATTTTGATTTTTGCCTTAGCAAAGGTGGATATCTGTTATTTTGGTACATACATTATACAGTATGTAAAGCCACTATATCCTTACAGTCTCTACAGCAAGGTACACATCACATGTCAGTGATACAAGGCAGTGAATAATGAACAAAACTGTGAAAAAAAAAAAAAAAGGTTTTATTGATACAGCATCCAATTAGTATGATTAGCCTTTATGGCAAGTTGGTCAGCACTCTGAGGGATTAATCTTACAATCATTTATGCAGGCTGTGCCACAGTAGATTAAAGGGTCAGGATTTTGGCAGGTTGAATCATTCATTGGCTTTTTATAGCCCTGTACAACACTGTCAGTGGGATCTCTGCACTTGAATTCTAAAGGGCTTGTTCTCACCTAGTAATTGCAAGGTTGCTCACATTCCCTGTTGGTTTTGCAGAATCCCAGACAAGGAAAGAAGCAGATCAATTATAAATATATGGGGATGTGATACTTGATCTGTACTATGCCCCTTATTACGCTCCACAGATGTTTGCTCCACTGACAGACAGAAAACACTCCTTATCCACCATGTGTTGGCCAGAGATCATGCCACCAATTACAAGCCATAACTGCAAAAGCAGGATTGGTTAATAGTTCTCCAATAGATAAAACTCTTTTAATTGAAGTCTATTTGTTCATACAAACTTTCCACTACCAAACTAGAAAGTGTTCCCAGACAGATTATGGTTAATTGGACTAAAAGCCCTCCACTAAACCTAGGAACTATGTGTTTCATTGGCAGAAATGATATGCATGGCTCCATCCACTATTCTAAAATAAGGTATAAACCTCTTTCTTTTTTTTGGATTGGCGGTAGACATTAGTCATGAAGATCCCTTCTGTTTCATGAAAGCTGTACTACAGAAGTTCTTACATTTTTTTTATGATTACAGACTGCCAAATGGATATGCCCCCATAACCTCTCCATCAGACTTTTAAAACCACCATTGTTATATCTGTCATATTAGGCACCAGTATAAGTTTAAAATGTGTCAGTAATTTTAATCAGTAGAAGTTACCACCTCTCCAAATTCACACATCTCCCTCCAGCTATGGGTATTCTAGATGCCAGCCAAGGAGCCCATATTTTCTTCATGCACTCAAGCCCAAGAAGACAAATGGTACCAATGAGGTCACTTCATTCAAACTTTGTTGAATCAGCCAGGAAATACATGGACCTCCCCAAACTTATGGCCACTTTCCAGTGTGTTTTTATTTTGGCTGGGTCAATAACGTTTTTATGGAGATGTGACCTCACTATTTGTCTTCATGGACCTAATGTCAGTTGTTTAGTTTTAATTTACATATAGATGGCTGGTAACAGAACGACTGATATATAAAACTAGATGTCTATGGTCAGTGTCAGCAATTGTCTGCCATGATGTTGTTTGCGTACTCAGTGAAGCATGTGAAACAACAGAAGCAAAGTTCCTGATGGTTTATTGAAGCTGACCTTCTTTTGTACCCAATTCAGAGCGTCTTGGCTATGGTATGCAAAGGAGTGACCAACAGTGACACTGTGACCAACAGTGTACAGAAAAGTTTGATGTTTTCCTGAAACTGAACTAGGCGTACAGAAGCTGGTGAGATTAGAGGTTGTTTAATTGAAAGAGCGCATTCCAAAAGCTGCTGCATGTGGGAGGCAGGAAAGGGTGGATAAGGTTTGGTGCTATCAAGTAGTGGCATAACTTTGTCAGAAAAGCCTAACATGTGGCCACGACTGGAGTATTTCGGAGCCTGTTATAAGCATGTGTAGGTACCTCCTGGTTCCTTACCTTTATACCTGTAGCAGATTTTTTTCATGTTAAAATCAGATTATCTTCAAACCTCTAGCTCACAGCTAGTCTTCCATACACACCAACCACTGATACTGCTTTCTGCTGATCACTTTCTTGCTATGCAGTGGACCACCAAAAGGCCTCTGTGTGAAACAAAGATCTCAGCCCCCATGTTTCCATCATTGTTATGGAACAAGCAGGTTAAATACAATTTTTACATACATTGGAGAGGGTGGGACAGGGTATAAATTATTGAGACAGACTGGTAACCAGAAATGTTGAACTCTATTAAAGCTGAACTCCAACCTTCCCTTCACTCTTCTACAGTTGTACTGCCTCCTCTCCTGTACTAAGATTGCTTACTTTGATTTCC